ATTAAGTAGAAGAGCATTAGGTTAACATTCCAGCCTGTTTCTGCTGCAGCAGTTTTCAGATAAAATGCAGAGTTAAAGACGATCAGAGAGCAGCTGGGCTGAGTCTGACGGATCATGCATGATGCAGAGGCCAGAGCAGCACAGCTTCACTTTTACATCTGGTTCACCTTTAGGTGCTTGGCCCGTTATAGGAAACAGTTACTTTCCTGGGCCTGAAATGATGGACTTGGTACCAAGCATTCTGGCTGACTTGTCCATTTTCATTTACCAAGAACTGGGCTCAGGGAGCATGTGTTAAAGAAAGCTTTTGTTTGTATCTCAGACTTTCTTTGCAGACCATCCGATATGAAACAAATTTATTTAACCAACACAGAATTTTTTCCTAGAAAGTAATTTGGGTTTTAGTTTTCTCTCTGCAAAGAAAGAAATACAAGAAGAGAAATATTACCCAGCCCACAGGTTTTAACCTAAGCAAATAGGTAATCTGAAAAAATCTAGCACAGAATTCTTTCACTTAGTAGGCATTTGAAACACTATCTCATGTTTCACTGAATTAACTTTTTTCGATGAGAGCTCAGTGAGTATACTGACATGAGAGAGGCAAGCCACTGTTAAAAGTAGTGACATTAAATTTATTACTTTCCCTTTGGTTTCAGGGTCTGTCTCTTCTGGATTCTACTGAAACAAAGCTTGTCATTCTCCCAGATCTCTCATATAATAGATGCTCAGCATGTCCAAAGTTCATTTTGGCTATACATGGTAGAGGGCAACAGAGAAGAATCTAAACACATTCTGGATATGATTGAGAAATGGTTATCATTCATCCCCATTTATGATGTTTATGATTGTTCTTAGAACTGTTTCATTTTAAAGAGAAAGACAGAATACGATTTTCATATTCTGTAGCTCTATTTGCTGTGACAAGTTGCCACCAAATAATTCTTGTTCCTGGTGGAAAAGGCTAACTATTGAGACTTTAAAATAGCTATTTCAGTGAAAAAATAAAGAAACATGGAAAAGGTGAGCATTCTACAAGGAAAAGAAAATGCAATGT